TTTACAATGGACTTAAATATTTTTCTCTCCTCCTATTCTAACTCCTTCTTTCTCCTCTTCTCTCTTGTCCTAATGTATTTAATTTTTTTAAAAAGATATTACTGGCCCAGATCCAGCAGTTTCTCTATGTTAACAGTTTGAAAACATTGTTTAATATTGTGAACATGGTTCAGACTCTCAGTCCACCTCTCAAGCATCTTATCAGGGTGCTTATGCCACTAAAAATAGGGATTTTGAGTGGGGAGTGGGTGGGGAGGATGCTTCTACTGTTAAAAAGTAGCATTTAAAAATATTATTGCCTAAGAAACTTGAGAACAGGGAAAATAAAGCTGCCTAAATTGATTATTTAGTGCTTCCTTAGAGATATGCCATTTTTAACCTCTTTGCCCAATTCCTCTTTCCTGGGCCCAGGCAGAAAAGCACTGTGTTTCTTATGTTCCCTAGGCCCACCGGCCTGCTAAGATTCTCTTCCTGAAAGACAAAGCCTTTTTTATTATTAATTTTTCTTCAAATCCCAGCTATACAATCACTAAAAAGGGAAAATGGTGAAATATGTGAAAATCCATGTTTGATTTTTCACTTATTCATCACAGAAAACATTCCTCATCTCTTTGTCATATGCACAGTTTTCTTCCCTTGAATTCTCAGGAGTGTTTTTGCCTGATGCTTATATAAGTTATCACAAGCTGTTTCCATATTGGCCATGGAAGTTATATTGTTCAGTGTGTGTGTGTGTGTGTGTGTGTGTGTGTGTGTGTGTGTGTGTTGTGTATGTGTGTGTTTGAGACGGAGTGCAGCTCTGTCATCCAGACTGGAGTGCAGTGGCGTGATCTTGGCTCACTGCAACCTCTACCTCCTGGGTTCAAGAGCTTTTGCTGCCTCAGCATCCCTAGTAGCTGGGATTACAGACATGTGCCACCACACCTGGCTCAGTTTTGTATTTTAGTAGAGACGGGGTTTTACTATGTTGGCCAGGTTGGTCTCGAACTCCTGACCTCAAATGATCCGCCCACCTCGGCCTCCCAAAGTGCTAGAATTACAGGCATGAGTAACTGTGCCCAGCCAGAGATGAATTGTTTGAATGCACCATCAGTCTCACTGCCACCACTCCCTCTACACGTGGTAGCAGGTTGAGTTTACATTGTAATATATCATCATTATTAACATACATATGTGGGTATATATGAAGGGTGCTATGGGGATTGTACATAAATATGGAGCAGTGTGGTTCATGGCTTTGAGGACATTAAAATAAAATTCAATCAGAAGCAGTCACCATGTGCAATACTTAATTATGTAATATGGTGACCATTTGCTGATGGTTCTACATCATATTTCCAAAGCATTAATGTTTTCAGATACTCGATCAGCTTCTGCGAAGTTATGCAAAAGCTACCAAATGAGTAGCCTTTTCAAAAAAATGTTTTCCTATTTCTGCTACCAAAGTCATTTAATAGAAATAACTCTATGAGTAAGTGCACTTGACTACTGTGGAAACACTTTATTTGGTGGCAATGTTGAAACAGGCAGTATGACTTATAGGCATTTACTGCAACAGAATCAAGAAACCTATTTCCCCCTTCAAAATCAATAGAAAAATTGCTACTTATGCTAGGTAGTCTTTGTCTTTGTAAAGACAAATGACCATGCATTCTGTTTCAGGGTAGCTGAAACATTTCTCAGCTGGCAAAGTTGTTTGGTCCTCTATTTTATCTGTGCAGATAAAAGGATCATTTTGCATCTCAAAGGATAGAGGCAATATTTTTCACAAATAAATAACATACTAAGTGATTGCTAATTTAAAAAAAATTAGCATTTGAGAAAATAAATAGCATTGAATTTCTGACAGTAAAAATTAGTGTTTCTTTATCAAAATCTTAAAGTCATGTATTCAAAGCTGAAATTGTAGATGTTTTAAAATTCAGGTTAAATAAAGATAATATTTTTCATTCATGAAGTTATTATTAATACTTTATTAAAAAACACATATTTTAGGCTATTCAGACTTTTCTTCTTGGAATTTGAAATGCTTTTATTATTTTTGCACCTTGAATCAGTAATCTTAAAAGTTTCATACTTTAAAATGTTCTGTTGGATAATTATTAAATCTTTTGCTGTCACAATAAATTTTTATCCTGTATAGATGTCATGATTCCTTATTAGTTCTACTGGAAATATATATGTATAATTTCTCTCATTTAATAAAAGCACATTTATTATATGTTTATGAATATGTGCAAAAAGTAGGCTAATAATGGAATCTTATTGATCCACTCATATTAAAATACATTTACATGGGAATGTGTATGAATACATAAACATGATTAGTACTGGGAGCTATCAGAGATTCATAGAAGCTCAAATAAGTAGTCACCTTTAATATCTTATTTCCTCCCTAAATTTTTTGCATCCTAAGAAAATAAAAAAAAAAAATAGGAAGTACACTAGATTTAGTATTTCACCAGTGACTTCCAGAGGGCTAGAAACAGGATTTATGAAGACTCCACATTTATGATATTCATTATTCCATAGCTAATGTTACATGGATAAATACATTATTATGGTTGTGTTATTGCTTACTACTGGCTCGATCTCTTCATTTTACTCCTGAGCATCATGAACTGAAAAAACTATAGAAACAACAGCGACATCACCTGATTAGCAATGGGCAGATCAGTCCTGGTACACAACGCTCTATACATGAGGCCAAATATGACTTTGGATTAAGAATATTCTAGTAAAACTTCCACATCTAAAAGGAGCATGAAGAATGAATATATTTTAATAATCTTTTAAAGACCAATTTAACTAATATCAATAGATAGAGATTGTTGTAATTTCTTTATTTTCTGTATCTGTTCAGTTGTCCTGTGAAAAGAAAAAATAAATCAAGTATGTGATCTTGAGTAGTGGGCATTCACCTTCAGACTATTTGTGTATTCACACAGATGTGTTTAATTACAACTGCTTCAAAAGAATCCTGGGTTTTCAAAAGTTTATTTTAAGTTTGGAGACTAGACAAGGTCATACTGGTTTTACATCCTATGTGATATAAGTATATATACAAAGAAAAAAACAACATTGGAATATTACACAGCTTGAAGGTTTGCAAAGGTTATTTGTGTCTTAGTTATTTCTGTACTTACTGACACATCAGACACATTGAGTATTGTATTTCATAAGTTGTTGACTAGCAAAGATACAATCATTAGTACCCCAAGTCTTCAAAATTCACACCAAACTTCATGAAGTTATTCGGAAAGAGAAAGTCAACCCTGAAATTAGAATTGGTAGCATGATAAATACTTTCAAAAAGGATGTAGATAAAGCGAAGATGTTTAAAAGTTTAGTTTCGTTCATTGTAAAATTAGCATGTTACAGTTACTCAACATAGTGAAGACTAGGTGATTCTTATGTGTACTCTACTTATGGTATTTTATTGATTTTAGTGTGAATTTAAATAGAATAAATTTATTTCGCTCTGATGTCATTGACACAAATGACACAAAAGCTACTTCATAATACTACTTAACAAGAATTTTCAACATTTCCACATGTGGGAATCCCTTTGCTGTTACCAGTTTTGGGTGTCATGGGACAACAGATATCCATTGGACATGATGTATTGTGAAGAGCATATAAAGCAGAGAGAAAATGAAAAAGAAAGAGAAACTCATTTCAATGTTTTTTCTAAAGGGTAACAAATATAATTCTAATCAACTTCCTTGGAAAATATTTTTAAAATAGGTATCAATAGAAAAAATTACAAAACATCATATGAAGCCATAAATAATTTTGGAAAAGTCATCATAAAGCATTAGTAATAATCATTAAAATATACTCTTAAGAATGTACGTAATTTGCAAAGTAAAATGGCTATATATTTGATGGGGCAGTAAACCTTGAAAGAAATAAGAATCATTGGCTAAAGAGTAAGCGTCTGTGTATTTCTGAACCTAAGTAATTATTTGTCACATGACTTTAAAATTTAGCCAGTTAAAAATATTTTCAAATCCTAATTTTAAAGTTATCTAAAAAAGGCAATATGGAGGGAATAGCAATTTTGTTTTTGAAAGATGTTAAAAACTGATCCCCATTTCAGAGGCTTCAAATTCAAAATTTCATAATAAGAACAAGAAGTAGAAAGCATATGGGCAAGGAACCGACATGTAGCCAGCAGGTCTCCTTAGACCAACTAATTTTGTTCTTATTAAAAATGCCAATACGATTGACTTTCTCTTTAAATTCTTCACTATGATTGAAGACCACTCCATATATACATCATTAAGAAATGCTGTTAACACATGGACAGACAAGACAGTAACAGTCTAGTGGCTTTTGTTATGCAGCACAAATATTAAAGGAAAGAAATAACTTAGCAGTGTTGCGTAGGACCTTAACATTTCGTACACATACCATCCTTTCTTTTCCAAGACACTTAATTTAAAACTCCAATAATTCTGTCTAAGCCTTATAAAATAAATACTTGTAAAGCTTATAAATTAGATGTTGTAGAGTTTTATGGAGGCAGTGTAAGGTTTAATTTGAGAGACATGTCAATGAAACCTCCAGTATCAATAACAAATTGTTATGATAATTGCTTATTTTTTCAGGACCTTTGAAGCAAAATAAATAGAAATCAATTTTCATCTTGAAAGCGGTTTACTACTTTGTCATTAGTAAACATTTGCTTCTCACAAATAACTCCACCTGTGCCTTCCTGGGAAACTACCACCAGTTTCAAATCTCAGTAAGATGTTAGTTTCACAGGAAACGTGGAGATGAACAAAGAAATGATGAGTATGCTTGGCCAAGCTATGCAGCACTATATTAATATTTCTTTGCTAAATTTTTAAAAAAGAAACAAATAACTCATGAGCATACTTTTTAAAGTAAATATAAAGATATGTAATTATCACCTAAATGAAGATTTATATTTAAAGAGACACTATATATATATATATATATATATATATATATATATATATATATTTTGTTCCTTTGTGCAAACTGAGAGTATGGGATTCTTTATGAAGGAAGTATTTGGAAATTAAGTGGCTTCCTTCAAAAATAAAACTGCAGATTTAATTAACTGATATGAACTACAGATCAATCTACTGATATGCAGTCATGTTTTGTATATATGAGTAAACATGACACTTCTTTTAGGCAACTAATAGAAAATTCAATTAGAAAAAAAAACATTGAATTATTCGGGTAATATACAATATAAAGAATGTAGACTAGAACCAAAAGAAAAAGAAGTCACATAATCTTTTATAAGAAATAATGAAAGTAAAATAAGAATTATAGTATCAGTACTGCATGATACATATTCTTCTTTGAAATTTTGTGAAAAACACTGACAGTGTTTGGTAGGCACAGAGAAACACTTGGGATAATGTAGAGTCATTACAGAAGAAAAAACTTATTGCTAACATTGCAGTATTCCTTTTATCAGAATTAGTTGAGTATTGATGGTAAAACTTGATCAAATCTTGCTCTTATTTGATGACTTTGAGACTTTTTTAAATCTTACTATAAAAAGAAGGCTACTTTCTTTCCCTAATATATTTCTACCAATGTGAATAATTCAGAAAACAATGAGAAAAGTAATTCACACTTAAGGTGATGTTAAGAGATTTGACCAATAAAAAAAAATCAAATTAAATCATTGAAAAGGCAGGCTTAGACCTCTTTACAAAGACAGTTAGTTGCCTACCATAATTTGAGCACTTTCTCATGAAAAAAACCCATTCAGTTTCCTACAGATTTTGCACAGTTCATTCCATGGAGATACTTTTAGGGAAACGGGGAAGAAGGTTGTGAAATGGAGCCTCTCCTCATTCCTCCTCTGTGCAGCCCAGCAGCTCTGACCGCAACGTGATTCTCCCGTACCAGGACCAAGGAAGGATTCTTATGTGTCGTGCATAGATGGGAGGGTCGATGACGTTTTTTCTGTGAGTGTCATTGTCAAAATTGCCCTGGAAAACCTAATAAAGAAGAGCAGAAAATGTCAGTCATACAACCTTTTTTCTTTGAAATTATTTTTATGTTCTTGTTTGGAACATTTTCCCCAAATGTGATATTTGAAAACTATTCATTTTCTTTTCTTCAAAATATATTGTAGCTTCTTTTTAATAATAATTTTTCATGAAATGGTCAATTAATGTTTAATTTAAAGAGTTACGGCAAACCTTGATTGTCTAATGCAGGAGTTCTCAGGTCTGTCATTTTCCTCTGCCTGTTTCTCTCAATTATAAAGATGCCACAGATGCTTACTTTTTGCTTATGTCACAGGCTGACGTTAGTCATGTAGCTTGCTGAAGATGCTCTCTTCCAAGGAGTGACTCAGGGATCCAAGCTGCTTGCAAAGTACAACTATCAAAGGGAGCATGTGGTCTCCACATTCACAACGGGAAAGGGGAGAGTGAGTTAGTAGACTGGGCAGGATGTTTAAGAGAACAAGTATGGAAGCAGCTTATATGACTTCTGTCTATCTGTTTCACCTTACCCAACTATATGACACCAGCCTAATAGCAAAGGAGGCTGGGCACTGGAAAGAAGCACATGGCTATTTGGTGAGCACTAACAGTTTCTATCACAGTACTTTTTGCTCACTTCTTCTTATATAGAGAATAAAATTAACCCATCTCCAAATGAGACAACTCAATCAATGATTTTTGAACTGTTTTTTTTGGCTTCATCTATTAATTCCTGGATCCATAAAGTACTACTTTGATCTATGTGACTTATAACATCCTGACACTTTGCATTGAACATCTGTTCCTTTCTTCTTTTGTAAAAATGCTTTTTTTTTTTTAGCTTTTCTATGGCCACTTGCTCTTCCTTAAAATACTTTTATAATAACTTGGACAAATGTTTGCTTCTGAAAACAAAACAAATTCAAAACACTGGGACCCTGATAGGAATAGCATTAAATCATAATTTATGTTGGGGTAAACTGAGGTATTTGTATTATTTAGTCTTTATCTGAAGATTTTATTCATTGTTCTGTGTAGTTTCTGAGCATTTCTTGTTGAAGTGATTTCTAACTATTTTATATCTACTTAAAAATTTAGATTTAGTTTAGATTTTTAGATTTAGTTCAAATTTTTAGAGTAAAAAATCTCATCAAGACTTTCTCTTTTCACTTTTTGAAGCATCTTATAATTAGAAGATAATTTTCTTTCTTGTTTGACATCAGATTTCTTTCTTGTTTGGCATTAAAACATAAGAATGTTGCCAACGAAAAGACCTGAAAATAAAATCCCCCAAAGTAGAAAACAAGAAACAAACAAAACTCTGCCATCACATGACAGAATACCTAACTCATATCTTTGGGAATTCTGAAATTAAAAGGGATGCTCTAAAAGCCTTCTAGACTAGATTGGTTCAGTCTTATATGGTCACAAATGTTCTTCTGGAAAGAAAAAAGCAATATTCTCTTCAAAAGCATTAGACAGTATGGAACTGATTAACAGAAGCAATAGACAAGACTGAAAAGTCTCTCTGCTGGTTCTGCTGTGATATCTAAATCCATGTTCATTTAGCAGGCAATTTATGCTGAGAAATGCCATGTCTTGCACTAAGGAATAACTCATTCTGGACTGAAATGTATTGCTATGTAACAATGTCTCTGTTAGCAAAAGCTCACAGGTACAGGACATACCATAAACACTGGCCCAAAATCTTGAGTGAGTAGCAGAAAGTAAACTCTGGTTTACTGACATCATCTCTGACATATGATGTTGGATTCAAATGCTTCACTGAGATGGTGGTATTACAATTTAATATGGAATCTAAATCCAATTTTGTAGCCCTGCTAGTGAACTTAATGTATATCTTTGGGATAATAGAGTTTAAATTCATGAACTCTCATTACAAGATTTAAAATAGCCCAAAATACGGTTTAAACCACTTCTTGGGAAAGAAATACAGGAAGGAACAATTTTCTCTTAAGTGTCTGCTGTTCAGAACAGGTTTTGATAGAAACTAACAATCCAGAAAGCATTAGTTGAATTATTAATTATACTTATTTCTTTATAATGAAAAATACATACAGAGAAACTATATCAGCTCTAATTGAAAACAACCATGAAATTTCTGATTTAATATGTGAAAGTCATGGATATTTGCATATTCATTTAAAAAATGAAGTTTCATGAAACATGATTTATAAAACAATAACATTCATAGAAAAACAGCCCCAATCACCCAATTTACGGCCTCAAAGTACAGAAAATGTATTTTTATTTTCAGAGACCTCTCAGTAGTGTCACAGTACAGAACACAAAGCACACACTTGCTAATTCCAGGGTAGTTTGTACTTGTTGGGTAAACATGTGGCACCTGTGTTGTTTTCTTATCTCCAGCACTGGGAAGCCCATGCTTAAGAAGGCTACCTAAATGTTTCACCTTGTAAAGGAATGCAAACACAGTGTTTTTAGTTAACTTTGTAAAATCTCTAAGATTTCTAGAAAGTGCTTTCACAGGCACATTTTAGAGATATAAGAATCTGAACTAAAACTGAAGTCTGAAAAGACTGATGGAGAACACTAAATCTCCACATAGGCATGAAAATCTTTTATAAGAGAAAGACACAGTTTGATTTAGAAATTTTTAGAAAAACTACGCACAAGTTTCAGTTCAGAGAGGAGGCTAATTAGCTGAGGACAAATTTGCTGCTTAATTCAGACATGATAATGTTATGGGGTCTCTCAGGCTTTTTCTAACATACGGGACCTTGAGAAAAAACCACTGAAGGTCTTTGCAGGAGCTTCCATAACGACAATCTAAGAGAAGAGAAGAGAAAGAAAAATACAACTCCCTCAATCTAGCTATCTTGATTTTTTTCCCCTAAGGTTAACTCTCTTGTGATGCTGGTTAAAAATACAAGACAGATTCTTGAGAGAATTCAAATCGGCATGGAGAGAATATTAGATAAAATAAAACAATAAAATGTTGCTTCTAGCAGCATTTTTATATTTTTTGTAAGGCAAGCTACCATTCTTCGTTATTAACCACTGTCTATTCAGGCCAGGGTAGACATCATCCATAGGAGGCCTCCAGCGATCATGGAACAAAGCAACATTATCCTCCACCGCGTAGTCAGAGAAGTGGGGCGTATTTGTTTCTTTTAGCAGTCATGGAGTGGGACTCTAAATATCAAAGAATCTCTTGGGGATTTCTTGCACATCCGATTTCTTTAGAAAATCATTTAGTTTGTAAAAATGTGCTTTTTTCTACTGTCCTAAACTTAACTCATAAGAAATTTTCAGGAGATTCCACTGTTCTGATTTTTGGAACTTTTGTTCACATCATTCAAATAGTGAGTGGTTCTAAGCATTTTTAGATAGCTTCCCTATGCTCTTCCAGACTAAACACCAGTATTTTAGTAAGATTTCAAGTGACCATCACTTCATCCCTCTGCCCTTTTGTTGCCCCCTTATAGATTTCATTATTTTTCTTCTGATATGTGGAGACTATAGTTGAACCACATCTGGGATTCCAGATATTGGTGAAATTCAAAGGTTGAATAAGACCTTCTAACGTTTTTTCTACTGATTGTATTTGCTTTGTTTATGGTATCAAGCACACCACTGGCTTTACTGTTTATGGTATCAAGCATACCAATATCTGTACATTGATCTGCTGTTCTTAAGGGATAGAGGACAAAGACAAAGATCCATTTTCCTAGGGCAGCATGTATGTGTGTGTGTGTGCTGAGGTGTTGGGCTGAAAGCTAAGAATTCTTTATTCAACATACACAATTTCAATCCTTTGTGCTTTCATCCAGAGTGCTTATGGAGAAGTTAAATAAGAACAGTCTTTGATAGCTGTAATCCTCAGAAACCCTGTTTTTATCTAATTCTACCCATATAATATAAGAAACTGAGATTTGGAAGAGAACTCAGAGATCTGCTGTCAATAACTTTTCCCTCTAATATTTTTAACATGGAACTTTCAGCCTACCCATGGCATGCCTCAACACAATAGGACAAGTATATATTTAGACAGTTTGAACATCTATCTTTTTATGAGGCTAAAATGTATATCTCTCTCATTTCAATCTATTGAATCTAGTGCTTAATTCTCAATGAAAATGTAACAAATTTAGCCCATCAAAAAAACCTTTTTGATATGCTCAACAATAATTGACACAAACCTCTCAAAAAGTCAACTTAAGTCAGACTAAACATTCATGCTTCCTTAAAAAGTTCCTTATGTTGCATGATTTTCAGATTTATAATCTTGATTGCATTCCATTAGATAACACCTGTTTTAACTATGGCTCAATGAAAGTGTGGTATTTGTTGAGACATAGAATGTAGCTCAAAAGCTACATTGTGAATAGCTCAAAAGATAGAATGCACCTTTGTTGCATATGCAATATTCCCATCAATGCAGTCTAAAAGGTAAAATTATTATATTGCATGTTGGGTTATAGTTGATTGATTTATGGTCAAATAAATTTTGGATATTTTCATAATTTCTCCTAAGCAAAGGCTATCCAAGTTTTTTACTTGTATCTATTTTATAAAGTAACCATTTATATATTATAGAAGTATAGAATTCTGATTTTTGCGGGTGACATAAGGGACAGATGCTTATTAGTTTATAGTTCAGGATCATAAAACTTATTTTTATATACTTAGTGTCAACATTACCTGAATTTTTTGGACTGTCAAAAATTTAAGAGTTACACCTTGAATCAATGCTTTAAGTGATGTAAAGTCTTACGAAAATTTTCATGGAATTAGTATGCATGAATAAAGTCAAACATAACATTTTCCATTTGAATAGCTTGGAAGAGAGCCTTCATTGTTTCTAATTCTATGTCTATATTATCAGTAATATTTTAGACTAATCTACAATTTATGTTTTACTTTGCCCTATATGTGAGCATTCCAAAAATCAATTTAAATTAAAAAGTAAAGAAATACTAAAATATGTATAAATTTATTTTTTTTAATTTTAGTTAGTGGTATAA